TTAAAGTGCATATGACACGAAAACATTTTAATGTTAAAAATGTGTATTCTATTGGCATGAATAAGAATATCACAGTTAAATTTGTTTCAAAAACGTATTTCTCTAGAAATTCAAGAAAATTTAGCRCATGTTGTGACGTCATTTTGTTTACAAGTCTCCAGATTTAGTTGCAAATACACGAAATTTGTTTGAATGCAGAATCTTAAATTCGGGTAGTACACTTTTCAGTTTCCCACCATTTGAAGAGTATTTCGTAAGCTATCAAATGAAGCTGAATAGAATATGCCTTTTGTTGTTATTTTATAAGAATTACAATTTATATTTAGTGCATTTCTACCGAATCTAGAGTACGTGTCAACAAAATGACGTCACAAATTRSGCTTAATTTTCTCAMATATCTCAAGAAATAAGCTTTTGAAACAAATTTTATTACGACATATTTATTATTATTAACAAACTATACATTTTAAACGATGAAATGTTTTCGTGTCATATACACTTTAAACAGACCGTGTAATATATGTACATTCACTCTAATGATCGATAATATGTTAATTGTATTATGCAGGTTCACTTGGCTATTGCGCAAACATAATTTGCATTTACAAAACGGAAAGGTCTGTCATAATAACGTCAAAGACATAGAAGTCCCCTTTTTTTCCTTCTTGCCTATATTACGGTTTTCGATATTCTGCGACCTCAGACATTTCAAGGGCTTGGCATCGTGAAATTGGWTTTTAACTGCAGCCAGTCAACAACATATAACTATTTTTATTGTATAGAATATAATTATWTTTGATTGACGGCAGCGAAAAACAAAGTTCAACGTGTGGCTCGCAACTACCGAGTTTGCAAAATATCGAAAACTGCAGTAATACTGAAAAACCGTCTTGCAATTCCCCGCTAGTCCGGCCGATTGGAGATGCTAAAAGAGTTCGTAAGTTAATTCTTTTTAGGCGCCGTCCTCGCGCCCAGCTTTTCTTTACGGGCGCACGAATTYCTTTTTATCCCACATACATTTGATGAGCATTCTGCTGTTTTGCTTAGGCAAGTGCATCGAAATAATACCTTTAGAATTGCATGATTATAGATTTATATATTAGGACAAAAGTAACTTTCTATACGTATATTTCTTGATCCAAGCCGCCTTTCGAGAGTAGACCTTATTAGCCATTCCAAGGTTGAGGGGAAAAAAATAGGTCAACCATTTTTTTTCTTAATCTCGGAAAGGTTAATACGGTTCTTTTCAATGACTCTAAGGCAGCGGAGCAGGGGGTGCCGTAGCAGTCCACTCCGTTCACGGAGGTATACTCTGCTCATCACCCCCTCTCCTTAGGTATAAATTATGCTTCACATTTTGTGACAAAATGATGTAAATAGACATAAATGGACAACATAGATAAGAAAAAAGTTCATTGTTCGGAATGAGAAAATAAATAGAAAGCGCGCAAGCGAGCTGTGTGCTTACATATAGCACGCGCCCCCAACTAATCATTTATGCACGTATTTAAAGTTCAGTGGTAATATGCCTAGCTTCTGTGTTGCACACATTTAGTGTCTGCATTCTAACATTGTCATTATTTGTAAATTTACATTTTTGTTATTTTTTATATATTTATATT